TGTCAGATATCATTTACTTGATCCAACTATGCCACGTCACCACTGTGCCGCGACCCCCCTGTGCTGGGTTTTTTATTTTACTGTTAAGGGCCTCAAAAAAAAAATTTGCCCCGGGCATCCAAAAGTCTAAATCCGGCCCTGATTGGGTAGTTAAGTAAAAATCGGAAATAACTTTATTAGAATTTGACACTAGATAATTCAATGGATTAAATATGTTAAACCATTAAGATTAGGTACTTCCTCTACTTAAAGTAGTCTACATTTTATTCCTTTCAGAATTTAGGTACTAAGAACTTCTAAACCAATATATAAGTACTCAATGTAATATAGAAAAAACAAAGTTATGGAATCATTAATCATTAATATAATCATTAATTTGAAGCTATTTTAGTAACCCACGGAGAATTTATTTCAAATGCCATTATTCTAACTAAATAACAGACATTGTATAATATTATTTTAAGAGAAACTTACGTTTGACTGCATAACATTATTGACCATCACAGGACTCCAATTTGCTATAAATTCGCTGAAATCTGTAATTTTCCATTTAATAAATGTTCTTCAAATGTAAAAAACAAATAAATAACTGTTTGTTATTTATCTGTGTTAAAACTAATAAGTAATATAAAATTATTATAAAATGCTACATGATAAAAAAAAGTTATGTGATAATTTAAATATATTAAAACCTGTGGAAATATACTAAGGCTATTATTGTGAATAACTGTAAAAACTGCTACAACATTAAAATTAATTTTGTAATTATTATATGATATTTTACCGTCGTAGTTTATATAGCTATCCTTATTGCCATCGCATGCCCTAAGACAGTTAATTAATTCCTGTGGGTTTTCTTCGAAATTATGGCCATTCTTATAAAGCACTGTGTTTACNTCCTGTGGGTTTTCTTCGAAATTATGGCCATTCTTATAAAGCACTGTGTTTACTAATTGCTCATACTTGATCATTTTACTTTTACTATCAACTAGACTATTAAAAACTTTCTGTTGAATGTCATTCATAATATCTATTTGGAATTCTTCCATGTCTAATGTTTGATCTGAGTTTTTTGAATTTTCTATAATTAGTAAAGAGCTTGAGACTCAAACTATAAATTATATTACAAACTAACAAAGGTATTGATGAATAAAATGTTAATCTAATCACTAATAAAGTAAAAAATAATAAATTTGTATAAAACGAGATAGGTTCAAATATAACTAATAATGTATTTTCAACTAATATTGAAAATGACAATGTATTTATCATACAGTTTATATTTGACATATTTTTCAAGTTATTTTTTTTAGATTTTGGACCAAATATCTTTTTCAACATTTCAAGTAAATAAAAAAAACTGAGTTATGAAATAATTTAATATCTTACCTAATGAAATTTCAATAACTTCTATCAAAAAATGTTGTACATCATTAACGCTATTTAAAAGTTGTTGCAATTTAAAAAGTCGACATCGAAATTCATGTGGCTTTAGAGCATTTATCTAAATGATCAAACAATATTCATATTAATAAAATAACATGAAACTTCAAGTTCGATATTTTTAATTGTACCAGACATTATGGACGAAGATACGAAGTATTTATTTTACCTTCATAAGTCTATGATGAGGAAATATTTTAACGTTTCCGCATACTTAAATAAAATTACTTCTAATAAGTATATTTTATGTAGTAACAGATTATAAAATTTTTATAGTTATAAGGAATGATGAATAATTTTATAAAGCGCGTCCTTCCATTAATATATTTTTAAAAATTTCAATAGAACATATTCAATCTCATAACTACATTAAAGTATGTAATAATGCAGTTTCAAAAATCGTACGGAATAAAATTAAAAATAAATGCCAAAAACTTTGATACCGCCATTGCCTCTTGGTGTCCCACAAATAAAGCTAAATGGTTCTAAATTTTTTTAATAGTCAGGTAGAAAATTAGTTTGACGCAAATTATAGTCTCCCATAAATTTTGTATATTTTAAAAATAATTTAAGTAATAAAGGTTTATTGATTTTCTTTTATAAAAAATATTTTTAAAGAGATTGTAGATATTAATTATAGTATATTATAGTATATTCTATTAACTGCTTCATAATATTATATTATAATACATCGATGAGGTGCAGCTTATAGATTTTACAACGTTAGTCTAAATCTATGTAGCTCGTCATTATCAATCAATAGTTTGTGTTGAAAATTTTATTAAATAGTAGGGAAACCAATAGGATCTCTTTTGCTTATAAGACATTAATTTTATTACTCAAAAATGGGTAAATATGATACATTGTGATAGGTTATCACAATTAACTTTTATTCATTTACTTGTAAAATTATCATAGTTTAAGATACGTATTTAAGAATTTTTTTTTTTTTGAGAGAAAAAAAAAGATAAAAGCTATATTTTATAACAATAATCAAATATTTACAAATTTTTATTATGAAAAAATATATTTTTTTTATGTTACAAAATTTATATATACTAAATGGATAAAACTGTTTTCTATTGAATAATAGTATAATAGTTTCAGTGATTGGGTTTTAAATAATAATAATAATAATAAATAAAAAAATTATAAATACTCAATATACATTTTTAATGCTTTGTCATAACATAATAATTTTTCTTCATTTCAGAAATAAAATTTCGATTTTTTTCAATTATTGCAATATTTAAAAAATAATCGTTATTGTTGGAAAAATGAAAAAAATCGTTGATAAACTCAACTGATTGGTACGCTATTGTAAAACAGTAACAAAGTTATAAAAAATAAAATAAATGCTTACCATAGGTATCATATACAGTAATATGAAATAAAAAATGCTGTAATAGAGAGTATTTACAATCATGCTTTTGTTCTGAAGTTGATAAATAATAAATTTAACATTTGTAGTCAAACACATTTTTCATAGGTTTGCCATTTATATAACTTAAAAATAAAACTTTAAACTAGCGAATAAACTATGACTTAAGTCTTAAGTCATAGTTTATTTAATTGAACAGAATTCTATACCAATATATTACTACATCGTAAATAATACCAATACTATTTGTCTTTTTCATGTATTTTGTGAGTTTTAAAAACAACATAATTTTTTCTAATTAACAATGGCATAAAATCTAATTATTTAAATTTTAGCCTCAACCGTAATATAATTAGTTTATATGTTTGTCATCAACAAAAAATTCAATTTTAACAAAAATCATTGTCAGTACAAAAATAAAAATATTTTACATAATATCAAGAGTGCAAATACCAGTTTATGCGATGGGGACATACCACAAATTATCAAGAGGCCAAACGCCCAGTTAAGTGATGTTACAAGTTAACATCACAAATTAACTAGAATACAACCACTTTGAAGGACTATAAATATCGATTAAAAACTAATATACCAACTCCGGCTCTCTTTCAAAACGAATAAATTTTTCGCCTTATTTTACTAAAATAAATTTAATAAAATTTTACTAAAGATTTCTGTGGTGGAGAGCAATTAAAGGAGTCTAGAAATACAATTTTGTTATATGGTGATTTTATTTTATAACTAAATAATATCATCACAATCAAGCTCTTACGAATATTACAATATAACTGCTTTTACAAGTTAAACTAATACTTGTAATTTCAGATACAAATATCAGACGAAAAAAAAATAGATCAAACGTTCAATTCATTATTATAGTAATAAAAAATCAATTAAATAATTAAGCATGAACGATACAATTATACATGCATAAACACAACATTAAATATATATTAATTAAAATACAAGAAATAAATAATAGCAATATTTAAAAATGAACAATTTTAAATTATAAAAATCAGTTTAACCCTCAAATGAACATAACAAAATAAATAACAATTAATAAGTATTTCACTTGAAGAGTAAATTCAGTTGCAAATACATAAAATTAACATTAAATGAGAAATAAAAATAATAAAATGAAATAACAGTAATACTTAGGAAAGTTAGTTAATTTGAAAAGAAGAAAGAGAGACACGTGTTAATTTTGATTATCTAAAAAAATAACATAATTAATAAAAAATGTACAATTTATCATAGACGCATAACCATTTTAAACTAGGGGTGCTCAAGTTCCAAAGATAAAAAAAAATTTCTTGCTCTACTTGAAATAATGTACCCAATTATTTTTTTCCTACCACTGTGGTATTACACTAGAATTATTGAAACCAAAATATATAACTATATTTAAAGTAAAGTACATATACTACACCGATGTCATTGTACACTCATAATATTAAATGATATTTAAAAAAAACAATAATTATTTATTCAATAATATAAGGATTTCTTTTATTTTTCATAAACATTTTTAAAAGAATGGTGAAATTTGCTAAGGGATGCTAATGTCATCCCACAGGGGACTACTTAGCACACCCTACTGTTAACATATTAACAAATATAAGTAATAATTAAATGTTTTCACTCGTAAAATTTAAGAAATCCTACAATGCATTTAATTCATGCCAGGTGCGAGACGTTAATCATAAAACGCATAGAGTCCAGAAAACCCATTTGTAAGATCAATAGATATTTTCTAAAATTTAAGTCCCACCACCTATCGATAGTAACAATGTCTTTATAAATTCAGATAAGCGACAATTAAATGGTGAGTCAATAACAAAGTATAAAATAACTGGTTTTGATCGTACGCCAGGGAGCAATTGAAGTGCAAGTCTAATCGGTTACCGTCGCTCAACAAGAAATTTNTGAAGTGCAAGTCTAATCGGTTACCGTCGCTCAATAAGAAATTTGTCACGTTATAAATGCCACTACGGACCGATACATGTCGTTAAACAAAAATTAAATTATTTGCATAAAAACTGTTTCGTGCGGGACAACTTTTATCAATTTGTTTTGTCACCAAAATCTTCAATTTTTCACAAATAATTTTTTCATTTAGATTTTGGCAAACATTTTGGGATACTAGCATCAATACATATCAAATAAAGTTGTCCCGCACAAAACATATTTAAAATCAATTATTTTCTGTATGGCGTCATTTAACAAATTTGCATAAATGTTATGTCATAGCATTTTATTGTTCAGATTTTTGGTTTTGTTTTTTTCCTTGGCGTGCATTTACTTTTTCAATGTGTTTTTTAGGCATATCCGATTTTTTTTAACCTAAATATTATTATTACTTTGTTCCGTGTAGTTTGAATAAATAATATAATTGATATCAAATATTTAAATTTAATCGCTTGATACATTATTAAAATGATCTGATCCGATATTTGTCATACTTATATGAAATTAAAATTAAGCTTAATAAAAATTCTAGGGAGGGAAATTTTAATTTTAGGTACGTTAGGAATAGGTCGGTTAATAGTCAAAAAGTTTAGTCCTAAGTTCAAAAGTCATAAGTTTTGAAAACAAAAAAATACTTTTGAAATTTTTTTTAATGCACTAAATAAAATGATAATAACATTTTTGAAAATTTTATGTAATAAAATTATTTGTTAAATATTGCAATTGCTTATAAAATGGTGAAAAAAATTTTCTTTGGCTAGCTTTAAAAAATAAAAAGTAAACTAAATATTATAAAACAAAATGAAAATTTACAACCTCCAATTATAAACAGAGCAAAGAAAAAAGTTAATCAAATAATAAAAAATTAATCAATCTGATTAAAGATAAAACAATTATTTATAGCAAAAATTAAAATTAATATATTACAGGAGATCAAACGTTTATTTATGTTATAATTTAGAATTGAAACTTAAAGATAATAATTATATTAAAATTATATACCATGAAGTATCAAATTTGTTGATTTTTTTTTTGTAAGAATTGGTTATTATATGTAGATTGTTATTCAACTATAATTTAATTAATGTAATTTACAAGCATATTTAGTTTAACACAAAATGTAAAAAAAAAATTTAAAACTTCCATCAAACATAACAACAATTTCTATTGAAAATAGAACAAAAAAGAAAGACTACTATGATAGAGAAAAAGTGGTATTTCCATGACATGTAACAAATATTGATTGGACCGACATAATGAACAGCATACATTTTATAATTACAATTAATTTATAATATTAATAGGCAATAAATAACAAATAGAAAATAACCCAAACGGACGGTCTATTAATGCAATAGTTTTAGTATATCTGAACGACAAATGCAAACAGCCGTTTTCAGCAGACGGATCAAATATTTTCAAAACGGCGACAATTTCATATAACAGATGAGTTAATAGGAAAACTGGCAACGTGTGGAATTCATAAGCTTTAAAAATGGTTTCAATACCTCGTCCCTTTTAATTATACAGACTTATGAAAATAACGTTGCTAATTTGCTAATGAACTTATTCTAAACCGCGGGACACGGAAAAACGCAATTAAGCAACTATTGAGTAACGGAATATTTTTTTCTATCTTACCATTTGGTCGGCAGTCACGTTCTCTCCTGCAATATTTTCATTGTACTAAACTTTTATGACACTTTAATTTTGTTCATCCGATTATTTAAATTTGTCACTCTTACTGCTTGTCTCGATTGATTTTAGTATTCATCTTGTCAAATATATTTTTTTTATTTGAATTAATTAATTGAATTGAAATTGAATTAATTAAATAATCCATGAATTTGTCGCCAATTTGATGTGTAGTTTTCAATTTATTTCTCTAATATATTAATGACTATTTTTATCGTTAGACGTTTCACGACTGCGCACATCCATCTGTCAAAATATAAAAATAATAATAATTTCAGAAATACTGGTCCAATGGTTTTTATCGACCAGTTATTATTTAAATGATAATATTTCTATTTTATAAGTTAGTTAAAAATGTATATTGCCATCTAAAAATTTATAGTGTACCTCTATAAGTGATAAAGAAGGAACTAAAAAGTATTTAACCATTTATAAATTTAGAGGTAAATAGTATTCAACAAAGCAAAAAAAAAGGATTTCTAAGATTATTACTATAGGAGAAATTTAGTGGTCAATGATATATCAATTACTCTTTATATCTAATTTAACAGCATTTAAAAAAATATTTCTAATAATATTTCACACAATTTTTATATAAAAGTTTAATAAATTTTATAAGTTCACAGTTTTTTAAACAATTTTTCATATTTTTTAATATTAAATTAAAAGNTATTAAGTTTATAATTTTGTAAACCATTATTTATATTTTTAATATTAAATTAAAAGTTATTATAGTGCATAACTGATTAAATTGTTATTAATTACATTATAAGTATAATATCAAATAAAATTTAAAACTTCTATTAAGTATAAGAAACAATTCTCCTAAAATAGAACAAAAAAGAATAAGTTTAATGTTGTTAAAGTGGTGCTTGAATAATTTGTATCGAAAATTGACTAAGCCGATATAATAAACAACATACATGTAATAAATGCAATTTATTTACAATATTAATGGGCAATAAATAACAAATAGAAAAATAACTCGGGCAGACGGTCTATTAATAGCAATAGTATTAGTATATTTGAGGGACAAATACAAACAACCGTCTTCAGCAGACGGATCAAATATTATCAAAACAGCGACAAATTCAACTAATAGATGAGTTAATAGGGAAACTGGCAACGTGGTGTTCGTAAGCGTTAAGAACGCGTGTGACGCTCTGCCACTTTTATTTATACAGTTTTATGAAAGCCACGTTGCCAGTTTGCTTATGAACTAATTTCTACATCGCGGTCTCGACAACACAACCGAGTGTCTATTAAGTAATATACAGAGTGTTCAGTAAGTCAGGAAACGGGTTTCTATTGTTCTCATTGTTTGTAACAATGAGAACAATAGAAACCCGTTTCCTGACTTACTGAACACTCTGTATAATTTTTGCTATCTTACTATTTGGCTGCCTAGTCACGTACTCTCATGCAATATTTTCATTGTATTATACATTTATGACACTTGAACTTTGTTCATCTGATTATTTGAATTTGTCGCTCTTACTACTTAATACTCTTACTACAGTATATTAACTGTACTATACCTTTATGATACTTTGTTCGACCGGTTATTTGTGTTTGTCACTCTTACAACTTCACTCGATTGACTTCAGTATTAATTTCCTTAAATAGCTGTCCATCAAATTCGAAATAATCAATGAATTTTTATCATTACACATTTTCGGTTGCATACTTCAACTCGCCTATGTATAAATATATTAAAAAATTACGAAGTGAGTACTGGTCCAAAAATTGTTATCGATCAGTCATTTACTTAATAAATAGTTATCTATTTTATAAGCTATTTATAAATTTTAATTTATTACTCTACAATTATATTATATTATATTAGTATAGATTTGACTATTTTTATAATTAGACATTTTTTTAATTATAAAAATAGTAATAATTTCTGAAATACTGATTCAAAAATTATATATATAATAAAAATATTTCATTATTATCTTATAAGTAATTTAAATATGTTTATATAAAAAAAAAAAAGTTAGTGTTCTTATTAGGGATAGAAGACAAACTTAAAAAGTATTTAACCTTCTATAAATTGAGAGGTAATTAATACTCAACAAAGGCATAAAAAATATTTCAAAAGTTATTATTACTTTAGAAAAAGTTTAGTGTTCAATGATAAATCAATCAGTTTTTATAGTTAATGAAACAAATTTAAAAAATATTTTTAGTGATATTTCACACAATTTTTATTTAACAGTTTTATACATTTATTAAGTTTATAATTTTGTAAACCATTATTTATATTTTTAATATTAAATTAAAAGTTATTATAGTGCATAACTGATTAAATTGTTATTAATTACATTATAAGTATAATATCAAATAAAATTTAAAACTTCTATTAAATATAACAAACAATTCTACTAAAAAAAGAAGAAAAAAGAATAACACTAATGTTTTTCAAAGTGATGCTTGATTAATTTGTACTAAAAATTGAAAAAAAAGGACATAATAAACAAAATACATTTGATAAATGCAATCAATGAACAATACTAATGGGCAATAAATAACAAACAGAAAAATAACTCAACCGGACGGTCTATTAATAGTAATAATTATGTCTGAATGACAAATTCAAACAACCGATTTCAGCAGACGGATCAAATATTTAAAAACGGCGACAAATTCAAATAAAATTTAAGTTTATAAGTAAACTGGCAACGTTGCTTCCATAAGTCTGTATAATTAAAAGGGATAGAGTGTTGAAATCATTCTTAACGCTTATGAATATCATAATTTCCCGGTTAGCTTATTAACTTACATTCTAATAATAAATGAGTTAATAGAGATACTGAGATCATGTGGAAATAATAAGCTATAAGAATGGTTTCTGTGCTCTGTCCCTTTTAATTGTAAAGGCATATGAAAACAACGTTGCCAATTTGCTTATGAACTTATTTCTAACCCACGGGACAGAAATGAACACAACTGAATAAGTATTAGTAAAGATAGGTTTCCTATTGTCTTACCATTTGGCCTCCAGTCACGTTCTCTCATGCAATATTTTCATTATAATGTACATTTATGACACTTTAATTTTGTTCATCTGATTATTTGAATTTATCGCTCTGATTTTTTGGCTCGATTGACTTGAGTATTCATTTTCTATAGTCCATAAAATTAAAAAATAATCAATGAATTTGTCACCAATTTAGTACTCAGCAATTGCTCACTTGCAGTGTATTAGTAATCAGATTTTACCGTTACACATTTTCAGTCGCATACTTCTACACGCTTAAGTATAAATATAAGTTTATTTACTGAATTAAATAGTTGTCTATTTTATAAGCTTTTAAAAAAATTAAAGTTAAATTAATATTATATTAATTATCAAAGCCAAAAAAAAATATTTTCAAGATTATTATTTTAGGAGAAACATAATGATCAATGATAAATCAATCACTCAATTTATTTTTTTTTGTAATATTTCACACAATTTTTAATTAAGAGTTTATATATTTAATAAGTTCACAAATTAAAAAATTATTAACGTTTTTTTAAGTTTAATTTTTAAATGATTGAAGTGCATAAACAATTTTAAACAGTCCTCTGCAAATTTAAAGTGTTGCACAGAAGCGTAAATAATATATGGGGTAAAATCATAAACCCCCATCCCAATATTTGTTAAAAATTGTTTTATGTAACAATTAACATAATATCTAATTTGATTTGGGAGGGATGGCTTAGTCCATTTAATTGCATCCATGATTGGCGAAGATCATTTAAACATTTAAGAGGTTGAATTTTTTTTCGATTGCATCTGAGGGGGTCCCGAAAATGTGTGCGCGTGGCAAGTTCCTCTGTCACTTCTATTTAGTATACAGGACCGTTTTTAGGGGTTCCTTGGAGGGGCAATAGGTTTCCACAATTTATAGAAGCGAATTTGTAGCAAACCCTACAAAAATGTGTAGGTTAGGTTTAATATTTAATATTGTCAGCATACAGTCGAGTTACAAATTGTACCGTAAAACGATTTTATGTTAGTTAAGATGTGCTGCTATAACTGATCGATTTTAATAAATACTGAATTCGTCTTCATACTCCGTCTTACCCTACATAAAAAAAACTTAAAAGGGGCAGTAATGGGGTTTCAACTCCTTAACATACATTTTTTTTTTAATAATATTTTTATAAATTATTTTACTTTTGGGGTCAACTTGGCCTAGTTAGTAGAAATTTATGTTTTGGTGCATTGAATTCCGGTTTCGATCCCCAGGGTGACAACGAGAATATAATATTATGAGCAATCTGCAGTGGCGGCTCGTGGGTTGGATGATGGGACGATCGCACCTCCTACTAAAATTAATTAAAAGAAGAAAATTAATTGTACATTGTTAGTTCAACATTTTTATAAAAAATGCAAATTTTTAAATAGTAAAACAGTTATAATACATTTGTCGTGTGTGAACATTAAAGTTGTTTCTCTCAGTATAAGAGGATACGTATACACTCACGACCCACAACGTCGTCCCAATAATTTTCTGAGACTTATAAACGTGGCGCTGCAATGGTGTGTGTTTTTGGATACGGTTCAGCTGCGATTTTATGTGCGGGTTTTGGACGACTGACAGTGTCGTTCATACGGTAAAATATTAGTGTATTACTATATTGAGTAATTTATCTCAAGAATTAACTGCGTGTACGTTCGACGTTATCGGTTACTATAACAGTACTATTATTATTATTTTCATTTCTATTTTCTATTGCGACCTTTAAAATAATAATATATGTATTGTGTTTTATTTTATTATATATAATTTTACAATTATTTATACCTATGACTAGTGGTATTATATTTAAAGTCGCATCTCAACTACTAGTACTCACGAGCCGCCATTGGCATTCAGAATGGCCACGTTCTTTGACAACTAATAAAACTGTATAATTATAAAAAAAATGTAAACAATATATATTTGTTTTAAATATGAGAACATTCAATGAGCCAAATGCACAGTGGGAGAAAAATAAATAATAGTAGACTAAAAAATTATCATGCAATACAATTAAAGTTTTATATATTGTATATTATGTGTTAGGTACGATGTATAAATATCATTCATTGGATTTATAGATAAAATATTTATTATTTATAGTTATCAGACGATAATTGTGGTAAGGATAAATAGGTTTATATCGCCTTCTACTGTGTATAGTGTATTTTTCGTAACAATTTTTGTACAATTAAATTAATATATATATATATATATATATTTTTTATATTGTGAGATATATCAAAGAGTATTTGTTAAAGAATATTATAGTGTATAATTTACAGTGTTCAATAAGTAAAGAAAAGTATTTCTATTGATCTCATTATTTGTGACAATTGACCTGTTTCCTTACTTTTTGAACACCTGTATATAAATACCAAACATATTTATTACTCTTACAATAATTAAAACAATCCTACTTTATTATGTATTATTCTTTGTTTTATAAAATATAATACATGTTTACTTATTATTAGTACAGATTATTCTCTATAATATTATAGTTTCATTGAAAATTTGATCTAGTTTCAGAAAATTATTTATTTGTTTGCACATATTTACACAATTTTTAATAAATAAATAAAAGATTGAAAAATTCAATATGGCACCTGATATAATATTTCACCAAGAATTCTATTTATTTTTTAAAAATGCGATGATCGATTCCTATAAAACTCATCGAATTTAAACTAGTTATATGTAAGGGATTCATTTTTTGTAATGGAAAGGGATGTGAAAAAAACGTAAATTCTTTTGTATAAGTTTGATAAACGATGGAAAGCATGACATAGAATACGCAGTCATTTTGAACAAACCCCTGGTACTTTAATTAGCTTTAATTATGCATGCAAAACTAACAAAATCACAGTATACATTAATTAGAATACAAGCTAAAAACAAAAATGTTAATTTATATAAGAGTGTGTGTAAGAAAAGCGATATCTCGTTGTTATCACAAAATAACTAAATAAGTATTTCTGAAACTTGCGCAAAAGTTAAATTTTAAACTTTACTCGATCAAGCCGCATTTCGAATTATATTTTTTATTATATATTTGATTTAATCAGTGAATCAAATTTATTACATTTTGATAAACAATATTTAACACTTATAAATAAATGGGTGTTTGACGGAAATCTAGTATGTCTCAGTACAAACAAAAATGTCTTCTATTGATACTTTAGATATTACAAATAGTATCAATATTTTCATATACTCAGAGTATAGGATAACATAGAAATTAAAAGTAGTATTTGGAAAAATTCTAAATCGTTGTCCATTAAATATCGTCAACTTGTAAGACTGTAATTAAAAAAAAAAATCACAAAAAAATATTTTAAAGATATATATAAGATATAAAGTTAGAATATACAATAGTTACTAAAAATAATATAATATTTAATATTAAGTGTGATAGATAGTAAAACATGTAATGCATATGTATGAAAATTCATCTAGTCAGATGTTTGTGTCTAATGTTTGTCTTTTTCATGGTATCACGTCATCGATATTTTTAATAACTGTAAAAAATGTTATAATAAATTAAGGAAAAATATCCAATGCGCCGAATGATGACTTGTCAATTAAATAAAAATATGCGGGCACGCATTAATTTAAACACTATTTAAACCATTTTGACCTGACCATCGTGGTCAGTCGACTCCAGTACGTTATCAAGATATATTGTCAAAATGTCAGTCTCAGTACTCGGTTGTCGCTGCCGACTTTCAACCTTAAGTCAAGAGGTTGATTGTTCATTTTTAATGCCTTCATTTATCTTGTTTCCTCTCCTGATTAACTCATGTACTTGTGTCTTGTACTTCGTCTGCATCTTATACCTTGATCCTCCTAAACTTCCTATGTCAACAGCTCTTCGACACTCTCGATAGAACCGAAGTGGCAGTCGAGCATACTGTGGCTACCTACTATACACTCATTAGTTTATGTCTCTTCTTATGTCTTACGGCACCTCGTTTCTCCTAAAAAATGAATGATAATGACGTATGAAAACGACCTACGAATTCAGCAACATTCAACAATGGGTTATCCATATTACACGTATTCAAATATCTGTTACATGTAATCCAACCATTTGGATTTTGAAAAGTGGCAACAAGAGATGTATATAAAATTAAGTTGTACTTATATAAATTAAGAACAAATGGGGTTTATGGTAGATGTTCTACGACCAGGGCCAAGTGGTACATCTAACGATTGTAATACTGCGCATCGATTTCTTGCTAATCCTTCTTTGTGGTCAACAATTATCAGTGAAAATGAAGATTTAATAAGATGTTTTGGTGTAGTATAACAAACGATATCTGCAGATTATGAAATTAATTAAAAATTTTATTCTATTAGCGCGCCTACGAATATAACACTAAATTTTTCGACACAATATTGAATTCAAAATTAAATAATAGAATAATGATTAAGTTGGAAGGTTATGTAACTCAAAAAACTCTATGATACAATATTTTGTTAAGTGAGCTGGAAATTTACCCCATCTCGTGTACTATTACTTTTTTAACACGCTTATATTAGTTTCACCTGTATGTATGTATGTATGAAACTCTCCAAACGCCACGCGTTATCGCATATTCCGTCGTCTAGACTAGACTGTTATACGCATTCACCCCTCCCCACGCCTCGCTCACATCACGACGGCAACACTATTCCTATAAAAATTTATTTTTAGTTATCGTACCCGTACACGCGTGCTTGTCATCAATATTATATATATATAAACAAATTTTTATTTTGACTGACCAATACTGCCCGCGTCTAATGCGCCTTACGTATACAGGGTGTTCAGTAAGTCAGGAAACGGGTTTCTATTGTTCTCATTGTTACAAACAATGAGAACAATAGAAACCCGTTTCCTGACTTACTGAACACCCTGTATAA